TGTTCGACATCTTCTTAAAAAAGATCGGGTTATTAAACGAGCGAATCCACGGTTATTAACAAACTCAGCTGCTTCCAATAGTCTTTGCCGTAGCTCAGCTACATTTTGAATCGGCTTGAAATACACTTATTCTTTTACAGTTCCCCAGTAAAAAAAATCTAACGGATTCAAATCTGGTGACCGGGCTGGCCATGGTATTGTACCAGACCGCCCTATCCATCTGCCTGGAAAGTTTTGATCGAGATACTCTCTCACTGAGAGTGCATAGTGCGCTGGGCAGCCATCATGCCGAAACCACATGTTCCTGTAAATACTCAGTAGCACGTCCTCCAATAAATTTTCTAAATGATTTTGCAAAAAACCTAAATAAACCTCAGCAGTCAAAGTCTCTGGGAACTCAAACGGACCGATTATTTTACCATTTAAAATTCCTGTCCAATGGTTTATCTTGAAGCGATATTGAGATTTATCTTCTCTCATCAAATGTGGGTTTGCTACGTGCCACTCGTGTAAGTTATGCAGGTTCATGTACCCATCTTTCTTAAATGTGGTCTCATCTTCTAAGTGTTATACCATTTTGGAATCGTTATTAAATGCGCCAACTTTTAAGGTTACTTGCCAAACTCACGTAGTACATTTTTTCCAGTACACCCAGTTAAAGTTGAGCAAAGTTTTACTTTGGAATACATTCCTGAACGAGAAAAATTGGCAGTAAGGTTGAGACACCAGTTTGAAGATGCATTATTCATCATTACATTGTAAAAATAAAATCAAAAAAAAGTTCAATATTTGTAGTAACAGGAGTTGACAAACTGCCGTAGGGTGTGAAATTTCTATATCTTTTTCAAAGACCTATAATTTTCAAAACACATACATAAAATTTTTTTAAATATTTTTCTGATAGCTGTTATGACTTTGCCTATCATCCGGTTTCGGCTTGACGTCGACTTCTGGGACACCCTGTATGTGCTTTAAACTTACACATTGGGGTGTTCCAGCCTATGAGGGCCAACAATATTTTGTTCGACTTGAGATACGCATACCCTCTATTTTTTCCATTGGACTCTAAAAACTCAAAAAATGAATATTATTGAAGTTGAAAGTTATTAGGGAAACCATTTTCGACAAATGAAACACTGCTTTTTATTTTTACAGTCAGGATATACGTGGCTGTGTTCTTGTACACAATGTAATAGAAATTGTTTTTGTTCCTCATCAGCAATGATTAAGCCATGAAAGTCTTGCATTATCTTGACTGCTCTTTCTGCGGTATCGTTAACTGCTCTCAGTGTTTGCACCTTATTCTTAGCCTGTTGAAAAGAACCATTTTGTAGCCATAAAGTTGGACACTCTTCGAGAAAATTTTGAGTCGACTGAACAAGGACTTGCTTTTGATTGAAACAAAGTCATCGATATTTTTCCCTGAAATGAAGAAACGAAGAATGGCTGCCATCTAAACATACTGGTTTTGTCCGTCCGACCAGAGATAATCAGCGACAGATGTTTTGTGCTTTTTGGCAACTCATCAGCATCGCCTAGGCTTGGCCTCAGGTTATTATTAAGAACGCAATATAATTTAGCGCCATTTTGCCAGTCATAATGTTATAATGATTGTGACATGACAGATCGATAGTAGACAGGCGGGAATTTATGAAAATGAATCATTACACAATAGAACAGAGTATCCTAGTTGTTAAAAAATATTACCAAAGTGGTGAAAGTTTAATTGCCACGATTCGAAAAGCGCAGTTAATATTCGGTCGGAATAATGTTCCTACCCCATCCACTGTGAAAAGAATAATCAAAAAATTTGAATGTACTGGTTCTGTTAATGATGTGAAACATACGAGACCCGGGAATATTTCGTGGACTGATTAATTTTTCTGCTGAGCTTGATACAACCTTAAGCGAACACATAAAAAAAGCTTCAATATTTAAAGGAACTTCGAAAGAAATACAAAACGATCTACTGGATTGTATTCTTGAAGTTTGTCATGAAGAAATAATAAAACAGATTAACAGAGCCTCGTATTTGGCGATAATAGCAGATGAAACAACGGACATTTCGGGGAAAAACCCAACAGATAACAATTTTCAGATACGTATTTAACGGCGAACCAGTAGAACGTTTTTGGAATTATATCAATCCCGAAAAATGTAACGCTGATACTCTCACAAGACATATTTTGAGCGTCGTAGATCCATTAATAGGAAATTTCCCTAACAAACTGATTTCACAAAGCTATGATGGAGCCGCGGTAATGAGCGGACAAAATGCTGGAGTACAGGCAAAAATTAAACAAATACATATATCCATTTGCTCACTATGTGCATTGCTATGCGCATCTGTTAAACCTGATTATGTCCCAAGCTGCTTCCGCAAATGCTCAAGTTCGGGTGTTCTTTGGGGATTTGAAAGATATTCCGGGATTTTTTAATAATTCTCCTCAACGCGTAGATGTACTGAACAGAATTGTGGGAAAAAAATTCCACAAGGAGCAACAACTCGTTGGAATTTTAATATTCGAACAATAAATGTAGTGTTTGAGAACAGAGAATCACTCATTGAATACATGGAAGAAATAGAAGAACATTTCACTAATGATACCGTTTGCAAGGCAGCTTGCGGTATTCGCCGTATGTTAAACGATTCTGTTTTCGTGTTTTGATTGACATTTTTTCATCATATCATGCCTCACGTCGACATCTTGTTCAACCAGTTGCAGAAGAGAAAAATCGAGCCAGCGCAAGTTAAAACGGTTATCGATAATTTAAAAAAATGTATTGTCGATGTGAGAAATAAAATTGATGTCATAATAAATGAAGCCAAAAGTATTTGCACTGAACCCCAAGGCAACAAAAGGAGACGACGTAATAATAGCAGTCACGATCAGCGAGTTGCCGCATTAGAAGTATGCGACAATATAGTTAATTCTGCAAATGACAGATTTCAATTCAAAGATCATTTGGTAACCGCATCCCTTTTTTCCCAGAACACTTTGGAGAAAACTGTGGTAAGTTTCCTGATGACATGTTGGAAACTACCTGCTTGGCTTATCCCGAATTAGAAAGAAGTCGTTTAAAGACAGAGTTGTCTGTTATTTTTGCACGGAATGATTGCCGAGATTTACATGGAACTCTGTCTCTTATGAAATTTTTGATACAAAATAGTTTGGAGGAAACACTAAAAGAAATAAAAAAGCTATTAGAAATTATTGTTACAACTCCTATGTCAACATCAGAGGCTGAGCGAAATTTCTCAACATTGAAAAGAATCAAGACTTTTCTTCGTAATACTATGACCCAGGATCGCCTTACAGCGTTGTCGATGCTGTCCATTGAAAAGGAATTTATTTCGACCATGGAAAATTTCAACGGGCAGGTGATCGACAAATTTGCTTCCAAGAAGCAGCGTAGGATCGAACTGACATATAAAAAATAGGTAAGTTCGGATTTGCAGAACACCTGTTTTATTTTGCCACGAGCCGCCACTGTTTCAGTTGTTGTTACGAAATACCATGTTTTAACAGAGCCTTGAAATATTGCGTCCTAATTGAAACACCCTGTTGTAAAGGGTTTACCTCGGATCTGCAATTGATGCCGGATGGCGTCCCTGCTTCCTTCATGGACTGTAGTCACCACTTACTGGACTTTTTAGTTATAAAATCAGGAAAAAACTGAGAGACTAACGCACCTGCTGCTACTATCCACATTTCTATTTTCTTACTTCTCACAATACATTGTTGCCACATGCAACTTAAAATCTTGGGTTACTAGATATGTACAACGTAACCATTTTACAATATTCAAAATGTAATAAAGTCCCTTACTCTATATTTCCCGTACTATCGACGCATTTCATTTTTGATCGGTTACTTATACTCAAACAACTGATTACTGTATTATTACTTATTCCTGAAGTAATATTGCCAGCAACTAACCAACCTTATTTCGCATTTTGTAACCAAACTAGTCGCCGAGTATTCTTTTTCAACTTGGGTACCATTACCGACCAAAACACTTCTGATCCCAATAATATATCTACTTCATCGGAAATATTAAACTGAGGATCAGCCAACTCGGTATCTCGCGGTATATCTTAAACTAGAACTGTCAAAAGAACCTGTAGGCAACTTATCAGGTATGCGAGGAGTAACCAGACAATTAATATCCATGGAAAACTCTCTAACATTTGACTGAATGGATATGTCAACTTTACAGTTGATACTCGTGAGTGTCTGTCCCACACCCCTGATAGAATGATTTATTTTACTCACTTTCAGGTTTAAGCGTGTATAGAATTTTTCTGAAACGAAATAACTCTGACTTCCCGAGTACAGGAGCGCTCTACCGATGCAAAAATTCCCTTTTGCATCCTTCACCTGTACTAATGCTGTAGATAACAAAATCTGGGCATTTTCCGCGTGCACATTAGCGCACGTAAACCCTTCTGTAGGCGACGGCAACACCGCATGTGTCTGCGAGGACTTCGAAGCCGGCGGCGTTGTGTCGGTAGCCTACTTGCACACACACCGATTTTTTATCGGTAGGCTCTGTTTACTCACGCGCCGGTTTTTTACCGGTGCAGTGCTGATTTCCAATATTATTTTGAATTAATCCCCAACGAGTTGTTGCAATGTGGTTACTGTACCAGCGTATAAAGCATCGGAGAATTGAATCGGTGAGTTCGAAAACCGTACAAGTCCAAAATCATCGTTTTGAGATAATCGATAAAAACATTCCAACTCGAAAACTACTTGATATAGAAATTTGAATTATATACAAAAGTTTTAGATCTAAAGGTTTACCATGTGTTTATAATAATAGTTTTTCCGAATATAAAATGGTTTAGCAATACCAGATAGAAACATCTCATGGACTTGTACGGTTTATAATGTCATTCTGCAAATCAAAAGAAACACATGAGCATTTATCCAATTTATTTATCATTAGTTTACGTCAGAACAAAAATTCAATATCAAAACTGTTAGGTCGACCATTTAATCATCGTTTTCCATATTTGTTGTTTTCCATGATGTTATATGGTAATAGAACTCTAAAGTATGACACATGACTTTTTTGATGTCCAAGATCTTCTTTTCGTTGATGGGGATAGGTTCTTTATATGCCCTATCATTGGGCAGAGGTGGACTTTGTTTGTGTTCTTTCAGTATCTTAAAGGTATGGGAGTGTAAACCATCTATAAATTCCCATGTTGTAACATATCCAGGATTTGAACTGTCATATAGAAACTGTCTGTAGTTGGAAACAGCAAAAGTTTCTTTCTTGGAAGCAGCACCTCGTGTTGAAGTACTACACGTTTTTTTATAGTTGTTGTGTATAGTGGACTGTATTTTTATTGATTACATTTATGTTTTTGTTCAATGTATTGTATGTACATTTCATGAGAAACTGTCGTAATTGAAAAATTGTCTATACCGAACAGATTTTCTGGTTATGGTCACAAAATGGTAGCTTCTTCCGGCCTCTCTCCTGGTCGCTCCGAGAGGAAGGCATCCCATTGGACCGTTCAAAATTCAACGGTCTTCCGGTCGGCAGTGGTAGGCTGCGCGCTGGATGGTGGCGCGCTCCTGCGGGAGATGGTCGAAACCCATTTTGCCAGTGGCGTAGCACATACAATAGTAGTCAGGCCACCATTTTTTAAAATCAATAATATCATTTGTTTTACAGTGAATGGTTGCTTCTTTCTGGAAGTTACTATCAAGTCTTCATATTCTTCTGGAGTATAGATTCTATCATGTTTTCTGAAATTCCGTTTTGCGCAGCCAAAATCCCGGTCGCAGGGTAAGAACGAATGTCCTCTTATCGGGAAGTAATGATATATTTTAGTGAATCTCTTAGTTGCTTGTAATCCTAGGAGAAAACGGACCATAGTTTAGTTTCGGTTCTGCCCTGCACATCCATCAGAAAACAAGTGAAGCTCAGTGATATTGGAAGGTACATGATTCATTATGTAGTCGTTAAGGAACGTGCACACTTCATTAGGCCCTTTTTGACCTTGACCCTCATGATAGGTATAGAAATGACCATTATTGTCTTTAAGATTTTGGATTTGGAATGCAAATACCTCAGACTAAAAATATAAATAGACTTACCATTCTTACGGCACTGTAATGCATGAAGACAAACAAACCCAATTCAAAAGAAATACAAACAATAAGCTGTGTATGTGCTGACCACAGCTGATTCCACTAGTGGCGTAGGTGCTTTTTTTGTAATGGTGTTCTGGTTAATACACCCAGTATCACCTTCCATGGCAGTGAAAAGAATAAACACAGAGAAGTAAACAAGGTTTTATTATTGGAACTTAATTATCAGGTTTATTGTTTCATAATACCTAGTACAAAGGTATATAAACAAGATTATGTAAATAATAAGAATTGAGTAGAAACTTTCCTGTCCAGAGTATGAATACAAAAAAAAATAGTAATAAAATGATAGTAACCATGATCAAAAGTTGTATATAAAAAAATATATAAACAAACAGAAAAAGAATAAATAATTGACGCATCAATTTAAATATTCTGTCTTGATATTGAAGGCACAAAAAAACTATTCATTCCTTAAGAAAGATCTTAGCTTAAATAATTCCCTAAAGTATTTAAAAAGTTTGTATCATAAATTCAACTCATTCGTTTTATTTAGGCAAACAAAGACACAGATTTGGTTCAAACGATCTGACAGAATATGCTCTCTCAATGGATTGTATAATGGACATTCCGGGAGGACATGTCCTAAAGATTCGGTCTTTCGAGTATTACATATTGTACAATAGTCTGTTTGGTTAACCCTGTATGAAATATTGTTTAGGAAGATTTTGAGACTACATTTATTGTGGAGCTTAAGTTGGATTATAAATCGTTTTATACGTATCGGTATACTTGGGGATTTAGTGTACTCTGTAGACTCTGATAGCCATTTTAGCCATTTAGCGCGTCAAAAAGTTCTTGTATTGTTTATATGCTGATCCAGATATGGATGTAAAACATCTAAAAAGCTAAAGTCAACATTGGGGGTAGGTTTATACATTATTTTATAGTAGTCAATCCATGTTTGAAGATTTAGTGCATATCTCAGTAAAACAATTCCTTTAGACTTGTCACTCTCCCTAAGTCATTATTTATAATTCATTTTATAATTTTGCTTTTTATTTTTTTTGTAATTATCAGGTTTTATTGATTTTGAGCTAATACACTTTTTGTGAGTAATGATCGTACACGTTTTGAAGGGGCATTCAAGTTAGAGGTATAATGGTACAACTTAATGGTAAAATATTGTTCTAAAACTTGTTTACAGAGCAATGGAAAATGATTACTTAAAGGTTCATCTTCGAATACATGGTCCTTAAACACATTTCCGAATCCAAGAAGTAAGTTTTGCAATGTATAATTTGTTAATATTTGTGAAGCTCTTGTCATATTTTTTTGCCAACTTCTAACCTTTCCTTATATAACCTAAAGCAATGTTCTTCATATTTACACACATTTATTAAAAAAGCGGAGGCTTTAACTAATTTTCCATACGATTTTCTTATTTGTAATTTCGATATAGACTCTCCTGAAGTTTCTAACAAATCTAAACAACTCAGGCATTTTATAGACTTTTTTAGCCTCTTCACAACATATGCAACAACATCTTCCAAATACAGTTTAAGCTACCAAGGACTTATTCGAAGAAAGTTTTTAAATTGTATAAAATCTTCATCTTCCTCTATACTGTTTGATGATGAGGTCATATCCTCACTAATTTTGATCTCTGATGATGATGAACAGTGCAAAATGGATGTGCTATCTAATGCCACGACATTGGATGCTTCATTGCCACTTATTTCAGTATGAAGTAATAATTTTTTTAAAATATTCTGAAACTGCTTCGAGGTAGGATTATTGCTGTATCCTCCTTTGCTTCTTATACAACTGAAGAAAATTTCCAAATGATCTTGAGATAACTTATATGTGAGAAGGTACTTCAGCTCTTTGGTTTCTTTGACTCTATATTCATACAGGCTGTTTATTGAAATTATGAATCCCAAAAATCCTAATTTTCTTCTAGAAAGTATAACTCTAGTGTCTCCTAATTTTAACGATTTCAAATAATCCTTCGCTTCTTCTAAGAAATTGAAATATTGTTCAGTAGCAGGTGACAACGGTTTCTCATAAGGTTTTTTTGACATCCTATTCCTTGAATTAAAAACATCAAATAAATTGTTTACTGTTTTACAAAAATATGCTGTAGCTTCTGAATCCTTGAAGTCAGCCATAGCCAGATCTTTGTTCAAAAAGTCCAATGCTTCTGCAACACTCTTGCTCAAAGTCTGGACGGCAAGTTTAACTTTCATCTTTTCATTCACCCATTGGAGATTTTTCTTGTTTTTTCTTATCACTAGGAAACCTGAAAGATCAAAAACGTGTCTAACAGAAGAGTCTTTTTTGAAAATCACCACACATACAGTGTAAAAACAACCAATAACTATAAAATGTCTATTTCTTAATACTAAAAATCACAACGCATCCCCATGCGCTACGCCCTTGTCCTCCTCTAACCTCTAACTCACCTGTGGAAGGTTGCCTCAGTTTTTTCACTGCTAACTGCACAAAGAATGCACTTACGACGTCCCATTGTCTTTGAAAATTGTCTATCAATGATAACAATGCTATAATTGCCGCTAAAACAACCTGAAAACATTTTTGAATTCTCGCAACAAATTCACTGTGCACAACAACAAACACCAGATGTTTGTATTTGTAAATTCTGTGTACGCATCCACCACTTGCCGTTGAACACCGTTGCCATGTTCGGCAAAAAGTCGGTAGAAATGTGCTACTTTCGAATGAGAGCAAGTTTCGTCCAAGGTGGAACAAATCCAGTCAAACAACTGACTGGGCAAAATATTATATGTAATGTTCGCTATGAATTACCCAACATGAACCTGCATCCGTTTTGAATTGAATTTACAGCGTGTCGGCCACCTCTGTGACCGTTTTTGCGAGTATAAACAAATATGAAAAGAAAAAATAAATTTTTAAAATTTAAAATGACGTTGACAACTGCCTAGGAGCAGTTGTTTGATCGACCCACGATCGTCCGGAGCGTCCACACCTTATTTAAGTCCACCTTCATTTCGGGCGGAGTGCACACCAATATCTCATTCCATGTTCAATAGATTTTTCAGTATGGAGAAGTGGCAGCGTCGCATATATTTGTTTACCGTAAATACAGTTATGTTGACGACGATATTTTGTAGGGAATTATTTGTCTATTTAAATTTTTAGTCTGAGGCAAATACCCAGAGCTGTCTCAAATAAAAAATATCTTGGACAGGAATATGCGGTAGTGGCATATTTTGCATGTAATCAAAAGCAAGCCCCATTACTTCTGGTCGTTCCGAACACAAAGCTTGCACTTGTTTGATTTTGTTATAAAATTTCTTTGCCCGTCTTTTATGGACCATTAATTCTGCAGCAGTTACTCGCTTTGCGCTCTCATTAAGGTTAGCGTCTTTAAGTCTCGTACCATATCGTTCACACTCCGAGCATATGTCAACCTGTGGTCTTCCAAATCTAAGATTGAAGTTTTCATTGAAATATTTGAGATAGAATTCATATTTAACAAAGTTTTCGAGATCTGGATATTTTTCGATAAAAAGATTATGCATTTTTTAACATCTAAAGATGCATCTAAATAACGAATATTTTTGGAGCAATAATGGGAAACTTTTACTGGGAATGCCTCAATGTGCTCTTTAATTTTCTGAGTCCATTCATCGCATATGGTGCGAGGTCGGTTATTATGCTTGCCTCTCAAGTCCCTTGGACATTTGGCAGCCAAAAGCAGAGTATTCAGACGTTGAACTTGCCAATGCGATATGGCATGAAGACTTATAAATGCTTTTTTGCATACAGAAATGCCATTTGAGACTTTCCTAACAAAGTTAGATTTTCTTTCTTGCTTATCTTCTGAACTTCTTTCGCGATGTCTTTGGATTGATTTTACTTCCATGAGTCCCTGTAGATATGTATCTTGCTCGTTTTTCGACGAACCGCTGAGTAACTTGGATAAAATCTCTTATTTATCTTCCTCGGTAAACAGCTGCATGCATTTTTTTCTACAGCTGAAAAATAAAACAGATACAATGAAACTCAATCCGACCTTTTTAAAACGTAATAACTTACCTACACTCTGGTCCTATAGTTCTTGCCATAACATGTTTTCCTTTTTTAGAAACATATGACTGTCCTTGCAAGCGTGCTGTTTTTACTTTGTTGTGATTCCAACTAGCAACATGTCTTTTTCTTTTTCTGCTATCAGTACTAGTATTATTTTGCCCTTCAATATCACTGGATGACATAATTTTAATTTAAAGCGTAGGAAAATTGAAAATATGGAGCTGTTTTTAACAACACACATACACACGAAGCGACCACTGTGCTAGTAAACAAACAAATGCCCAATGCTTTGTCGTTGAGATTGAGAACCGTACTAGTCGCGGACATGTACGGTTTATCTTCTCATTTCACGAATGGAATCAGCTGTACTGCATCAGCGGCTAAGTATTTAGTACGGTTTTTATCCTCAATCGATGAAAACATATATTTTAAGCAAAATGGCTGTCTTACTTCGAAATGTCAAGTTTTGGACATGTACGGTTTTCGAACTCAGCTTAATTATTAAGCTAAAGTTCTGGATTCATTTTTCTCTTTAGACTCCATTTCTATAAAATCCTCATTCAGTTCGCAGCAAACTTGGCTCCAGGCTCTAGTAGCGTTTCAGCCTTTTAATATGTCCAAAGTTTTATCCACTAGCGCAATAAGTGTCATGATCGATGTTCATCTCTTTATCCATTGTAAACGTATATGCAGTTGTAATCACGGCCATTAAAGAATAGGCGAGTGTGCAAGCTCCTATTCAAACACGTATGCCTCTATATTCCCGGTACCGGCGCATCACAGTGACAATGTCCGGCTGCTAACCGGCTTTTTTCCGGTGCCGGTCGGTGCTCGGCCAGTGTGCAAGCGTCAATGTCCTCCAATGGTTTACTATTAAAATCTGGTCGGCCGATATTTTACCGGCCGTCCAAAATCGGTGTGTGTGCAAGTAGCCTTCGCGCGGTTTCACACACACCGATATTATCGGTGTCGTTATCGGAATCGGTATCGGAGAGTGCTTTCTTACACACCGATAAAAAAGTAAAACTTTGCGCCGTCTTTCATAAAAGGCCAGGGATCAGTGCGGTGTGTGTAGCGTCTCGGAACAGTTTATTATTTAATATGAACAAAAAAGCTGTGTTTTTATTATATTTGCTGTATTTGCGAAAAAAGAAGTGTCGAGAAAAAAGACGAAGACGATATTGGGTCCATCCCATATTATCTCAAAAATATGTAGAAGGAGCATTTTATACAATGTTTGAAAAATTGCGCGAGCATGATGAAAAGTTTTTTAACTACTTCAGAATGAGCACAGCTACATTTGACTACTTACTAGAAAAGTTATCATGTAGCTTACAAAGACAATATACTCAAATGAGATTATGTGTACCTCCAAAAGAAATGCTGGCAATAACACTGAGGTAAGTGATTAAGGAAATTCTTTATTTGCATTTAAAGTAACATAACATATAAAAATTCTTACATAAACTTATCTTTGACAATAAAAATAATTCATACACTATTTTGGCAATGTTGTGAAACATCTTGTGAGGTGCTACTTGTTGATATATATGACCCTTCTTGAAAAAACGACTGATAGTTTGTCGTTGATGGGTTTGCTGCTTGTAGAATAGTATATGACTGAGATGAGACTGCAGAGAAATCAGACACAGGAGAAGTAGAAAAGGTGATGCTAGAGGTGCTTATGTGACGATTTCGTTTAATTTTTTGAATTAGCTGCAGTACTCCCATCCTAAACTCAATTTTTTCCTCTTCTGACATTGTTGTTATCATAGGAACAACGGAATTGAAGAATGACTCATCTTCATTGGAAGGTTCATTTAGTTTTTTCCTAATTTCCAATTCAATGGGGTCTGCAAGCCTCTTGCGGCCTTGGCGAGTTTTACTTGCATGGGAACTTCTTGAACTGGCTTTAGATATTGCTGGTGTAGGTGGGACCTCATTTGAATTTTCAGTTTCTTCTCCTTGGTGCACTTCCTCATCCGAAATACTAGAGATCGTTTCATCTTTATTCATAACTTGTAACAAAAATTGCAGCTGATCATGGTAAACATATTTTCGTTGTGCACCCTGTCCACTCTTTTTCTTAAGGGATCTAACAAACGCATCTCTTATATTTTGCCACTTTGTTGTAATAGCGTCACCTGAAATAGATGGTATACATAGATATTTTTTTCAGATATTTGGCAAGTGGAAACACGTTCACGGATATGCATTATGCCTACAGATTAGGAGTTTCAACCATAAGCAAGATTATAAAAGATGTTTGTCATAGTATTTGGAATATTTTGAAAGATGAATATCTTCCAACTCCAACAGTAGAAAATTGGAAGGACATTGCTGATGGATTTACAAGAAATGCTCAGTTTCCGCACTGCATAGGAGCTGTGGACGGGAAACACGTCCGCATTATGAAGTTTCCAGGCAGTGGATCGATGAATTTGAATTATAAACATTTTTTTTCGATAGTCCTAATGGCTATTGCGGATTCTAATTACCGCTTTATATACGTAGACATAGGTGCCTTTGGTAAGGATTGCGACTCATCAGTATTTAAAGAAACCGTGTTTTGGAAATTATTACAACAAAATGCCTTGAATATTCCCCACCCAAGCCCCCTAATTTCAACAGGAGACAATCTACCATTCGTCTTAGTTGGAGACGAAGCATTTGCACTTTCCCAGAATTTACTTAGGCCATATGGGGGCCATAGTTTAAATATTAATAAAAGAATTTTCAGTTATCGCTTATGTCGAGCGCGACGGTAATAGAATGTTCGTTCGGTATATTAGTGAATAAGTGGCGAATATTTCACAGAGCCATAAATGTTGGTAAGGAGTACGCAAAAGATATTGTTAAAGCGTGCATAATTTTGCACAACCTAGTTCGAGAAAAAGATGGCACTCGTGTAGAAGATATGTACGCACCAGACAGAGAGCTACAAAATCTACCACCAACTACAGCATGTCGCGGTGGACGAGCTGCCAATGATGTTCGCGATAAATTTGCAGAATTCTTTGTAAGTCCAGAGGGATCCTTACCATGGCAAATGTCTAAAATTTAGCGCATAAGTTACTGCTTCTGGTTCTATTTAATGTCTTTATACTTAGATATTACTTTTACATTTAGGCAAGTGTTCTTTAAGTTTAAAGCTCAAATAGGTACATATGTACTAACCTAGATCTGTAACGTAGGCTGTAAATGTGAATAAATACAGGTAAAAACATGCACTTACCAATTTTTTGCTGTTCTTGTTCATTTAAATTATCGAAATTGGCTTCAAGGTATTTATGCACTTCTTTCCACTCACGTTTTTTCAATATCTTGTCTTTGTAAGTCTCGGAAAATTTATTCCACAAACAGGGCCTTGCTTCCACCAATTCAATGAGTGTAACAATGTCGTAATTAAATTTAGTCACACTCATATTAAGTATAACCCGTGTTCCAGCAACCAGTCAATACGCCAAACTACTCGTGCGACACTGAGTTTCAAAAGTGATATGACACACCGATAACGACAAGTCGGAACGTGTGAATGTGCCTATTTAGTTTGCATTGCGTACTAAACCGGGCGATAATTTACTGGCCAATTTTAACTCGACCATCCGACAGACGCAACGATATCGAACACGGCCACCGATATATTTATCGGGTCGGTTTTTGTGTAAAACTATTCATTTAAGGCAATGTATTTGTTAGGCAAACCGATACCGATACCGATAACGACACCGATAATATCGGTGTGTGTGAAACCGCGCTTCGGCGTTGAAGCGTTCCGACGGTGTCTGATAGAGGTTTGGCTCACCAGCGGTCGCTTCTCGCCGCGGAAGGTGAAGTAATACATTATGTGGCGCTTTACAATTTTTGCATTTACTCAATCTGCACTGCCGTGTCAGACGGTTATCTCTCAAGCAATTCAGGCACAAATTTAGTTTTCTAGCAGCTGCAGTGATAAAAAGGATATACACTTAAATATCGAATGAGAACCTTTACAATAAAAGCACTCAATCGCAGCTTCTGCGGCTGCAAAACTGTTACTCGTATGCTGTTTTCAACTACTTGTCTGAGGGTAAGACTTCCCTCTATCGAAGTGTTTAGCATCTGACTTTCTCTCAAACTTCACACTTTTTCTTTAAAAATACATGTAAATCAGCCATTGTAGCAAGATCCCCATTATACTTAAAATCCTCCCAGTCTCTTCTGGTAACCGAGACGAACTTGGGACTCATGATGTATATAATAAGGCTATCCCACTCGTCTGTCTATTCTCCCAGACTTTTCAATGATCTGATATGTTTCATGAAATTATCATAAAGATTTCTTAAATCCGCGTGATTTTCCTCATTCACGGGTGTATGTTCTATCATCGCCTTGATATGATTGAAAACAACCAATCTTTTAGTCTCATACCTTTCTATTAAAAATTGCCAAGCACTTCTGTAATTATCTGCTGAAACTTCAATAAACTTAATCGTATCCAAAACGTCTTTCTCTAAACTGGTTTTCAAATAATAAAACTTTTAGATATCTGATAGCTGCTCATTATAATCTACCAAAGACAACTCTAGCCAATTATGGTAACGACCGTCAAACGTAGGTATTTTAATAGGTGGTAACTTTACTACATTAACTGGATTAGTTGTAAACCTAACAACTGACGAACTACTGTTACTGTTAACTGAGCCAGTGGTAGACTTGACAACCGATGCACCATTTGGCACATTACTTTTAACCCTTTGAGGCCGAATTTATTTATTTAAATAAAAAAACAAAATGAAGAGTTTAACTCTGTTTATTTATATTTTACTTGGTTTTTAAGATCGCAGAACCAAT